TTGGTCTTATTTTATTTAAATTTTTTTAAAAAAAAAAAAGGGTGAAAAAGCCCTTTTTTTTTTTTTTTTTTTTTTTTGAGAGGTTTTTGCTATAGGGCGCATGCGCTCGCCAGACAGACAGAGACAGACAGAGAGACAGAAAGCGAGAAATCACCCCCCAGGGGGGATGGCCACGCCGCAATCCCTTCTCCATTCTCCTCTCAGGATCTTGGGCACGCACGCACACGCGCCTGGCGTGAGTTTTAAGCCATCTGGTCCGGGATGCAAACTGCGGTCGACTATGTGGGAGTCCAGCGACATAGCCATTACGCTAACTGCTGGTTCCCACAAAGCCCTTCTTGTACTCACATTTGAGCTCGAGCTTGATGAAATCTGTGTTCCCCAGATTCTCAAGAAACACTCCCCGGGGGATCAATGTTTTGAAGTAGAAAGAAATGTCAGCACTGGTTTCCCCTTGGAAAGTCGAGAAGTGCAGGTAGGACGAGGGGTTGGGGAAAGACGCTGCGTTCCAGTAATTTCCTGTGGAAGAAAAAACATCAAAAACACTAGGTGAGTTCACAGTGTGATCACAGCAGCTAGGGAAAGGTATCTAGTTTGGGAGTTTGATAAATCCCCTTTGGTAACAGCTCCTGTTGAACAACTGGTACTAATCCCCCATAAGCACATTTCCGACTTTCTGAAAGTTATATGATGGGATTTCAAAAAGTCCATGAGGAAATGGAATTAAAGTACGAGTTATCTGCAGATAATTTTTGAAACCATGCATGTTTTTTTCATAATGTGCATTTCCACGGACATTTTGAAGAACCTGCGTATATTTGTATATGAAACACTTTATTTATATATTTTTAATTTATGCATGTAAAATATTTGGAATAGTAATGCACAACATTTATATCAAATTAAGTATTAATTTATAAATGATATAAAATACATGAGGGCTGGCCTGATAACCTAGTACCTGAGGGAGTGAGATCCCCATGGCTGACCTAAGTTCAAATCTCAGCCATGGTAGCTTGAAAAACATGCTGGGTATGTGTATATGGACGCTTAGAACTCTGACAGGTTGGAGAAATGGAGGGGAAAGAATTGAGTAATGACTGTGCCCCTTTTCCTCCCCCTCTCTGTCTCTCTCTAGTGAGTGTGTGTGCCTTCTTGGCAATCTACAAAAAGAAAAAGGAAATATGTAAAAACAAAACTATTTATTTTATAAAATAAATAGTTTAGTATGGAGTGACAGCTGGGGTTCCAACCAAAGCTGCCCTGGAGTGAGTCCAGGGAGTGATGGCCAAGAGAGGTACAGAGCATGAGAAGCCCCTGGTGTTGCCGGCTGCAGGTGGTGGGGCCTGAGTTGAGCTGTGTGTCTCAGTGGGACTCAGGTCTTATGAGAGAAGTGTCTGGGCCAGACCTACAAATGGCCCATGGGATGGAGTTCTGCCTTTCTGCCCTTGCTTCACGTTTGCCTTGGGATAACCAGTGCTGGCTCCCGGTCCAGCGGCTGCCCAGACACCTGGTGCAGGAGCTTCTGGGATGCAACAGAGGCCTTCCTGATGGAAAGAGAAGAGAAGCCAGAACTAGCCAGGCGAGGGTAGGGCAGTGTGCTCACCCGTCCTCCTGCAAACCTGAGACTACCACAAAGGGAGTGTCCTCCCCAGCCAGGTCCTCTCTGGTGACATCAGGGAAAGCACCTGAGGGATTTTTGTGGGACGGGGAGTGATGAGACAATAAAGCCTCTCCACCAGCCCCTGCCCTTGAGCTCCTGGGAAGAACTGATTGAACTCCCCTCGTTGCCTGAGAGAGGAGCCAGTGTCCCCTGGAGAAAAGCAGTTCACAGGACAAAATGAAAACACTAGGCTGGAATACTCAGATTCCATTAGGACAGCTGGACTGACTTTAACATGAGACCCGACAGACTGTCACCTTCGTCTCCAGGGGAGAAATTCCTTTTTAATGTGCACACTTCTGAGTACATTTACTATCATAGCTAAGGACAGAAATGCAAGGATGCATTTAAAGCCGTTACTCGACCCGCCAGATTTATTACTAAACCCAATATCTCTATATTTTTAATACAATATTTGATATCTTTCTTCCAAAGAGCACAATAAATCAATTAAGCCCACTCCATTAGTTTACATTAATATTATACAAACTATATTTTTCATTTATTTGATACAAATTATGCATATACACAATACTAAATTCTATTATATTCTTTTTTTTTTGGAGAGGTTTTTTGCTATAGGGCGCGTGCGCTCGCCAGACAGACAGAGAGAGACATAGAGACAGAAAGCGAGAAATCACTCCCCTGGGGGGATGGTCACGCCGCAATCCCTTCTCCTCCATTTCTCCTCTCGGGATCTTGGGCACGCACGCACACGCACCCAGCGTGAGTTTTAAGCCACCGGGTCCGTAAGGTGAACGGCGGTGGACTACGTGGGAGTCCAGCGACATAGCCATTACGCTAACTGCTGGTTTCCTTCTTTTTTGAAAGTTACTTTATTTCTTCCATGAGTGAGAGAGACAGGAGAAACAGCACCTCCAAGAGCATGCTGCTGTGATCTGTGTGCAGCCCAGCCTCAGTCAGCCCCAGGCCACGGGCGCACGTGTGCCAACTGTTCTGCGGTCTTCAGACTAGAACCGAGAACCATCCCAGGTGGGAGCGCTAACAGTGTCATGTTTTACTGCTGTGCACTCTCTGGATCCATGGTTCTTAAATAAAAGTAACTTTGTGTGGGTACTGCTATGCTTAAGCCATAATTTTAAACTAAACACATAATATTGCTGTATTATGAGATCTTAAACATTCCCTTATTTAATTAATGCTATTTGTTTTTGTTCTTAGAGACATCTAAGATACAGTGATATCTAAACAAGCATGTGGCAGATTAAAAGATAAACTCAGGCACATTAAATGCTTTTACATTTTTTTCTTTCACTTGTATTTTTTTTTTTTAAGAGAGGTTTTTACTATAGGGCACATGTGTTTGCCAGAAAGACAGAAAGAGACAGAGAGAGAGAGACAGTGAGAAATCACCCCCCCAGGGGAATGGCATGCTGCAATCTCTTCTCCTCCATTCTCCTCTTGGGATTTCAGGCATGCACATACATGCACCAGGTGTGAGTTTTAAGTTGCCAGGTCTGGAACTCGAACCACTGTCGACTATATGGGAGTCCAGTTACGTAATCATTATGTCATCTGCTGTTCCTGACACATTAAAATTTTTTTTAAAGAATTATTTTGTTTAACTTTATTTGTTTTGATTTGACCAGAGAGAGACAGAGTGAGAAAGAGAGAGAAGGAAAGTGAGAAAGCAAGCTGTCAGGTCCGGGACTCGAATCGCGATTGCCCATGTAGAAGTCCAGCACCGTTAACCACCACAGAATCTGCCATTTTTAACACAATTATTAGTGCATTCAGAGATTCACGGATCAGACAGCTCCAGAAAGCAAGTGGCTCAGTGCTCCGCTTGGTGAGGGGGTGGGGTTGCTACCAGAGAAACTTTCATAAGGTGTTCGTGGAACCAAGACAGAGAAACAACATTCGATCGGGTGGTGTGGAAGGTCCATAATTAGAGGTTGGCTGGAAGTCTCTGATCAGTTAAACTTAAGTTTTGTTTTATTATTTGCACTGAAATGAGTTTTGATTTGCTTATGTAGCAACCCACGGCTCTGGAGTTGTCTCAGGCTCACAGCCTTCCTGGCAACGATTTTAACCAGTAAGTCAGCACGAACTGTTTGTAAATGTCTTAATCAAGGTGGAAACAGAGGCTGGAGATGTAGACGAACCTACTGTTCCTAAGGTATTCCAAAAGTCTTAGTGTAGTTTTAAGCTATTTTTGTAAAAAAAAAAATTGCAAAATCATATCTTTTAGTAGGAGAAAAATAGGCTAATTTCTTCTTGGAAAGAACACTGTATGATATAGGATAGGATGATATCAGAAAAGAAAGGATTCTACTACTGTTGAAGGCGCCATTACCTGAGGACTGAGCCCTCCTCCTGGATCAAGATCTGGCTTATTCTACAGTGTTAGGAGTTCAGTCACCTTTGCCAGCTACCCTCAAATGAAGGACTCTTGTGAGCAAACCTAAATTAAACCATTACTCCCATCAGAGAGTCCCAAAGCTGGAAGGAATGAAGATAATTCCCTGAGGCCAGAAGGATTCAGCTCACCCTAATTGGGTGAGATCATATTAACAACCTAAAGAGCCTGCAAAAATCAAAGTCCCTAGCCATCCTTCAGCCTTAAGCAAAGCAATTCTGTCTCTTTAGGCTGTATCCCCAGGATATGAATGTAATTAACATTTTAAAGTTTCAATCCAATCAAGTACATTCTTATTTTCTGAGATGGTGATGCATTAACAGAAGGGCAGTTGTCTAAAATGATTCTAGAAAAAGGAAAGCTAAAAGTAAAACATGTCAGTATTTATTTGAGGTCCAGCACTGGTTATTCAGACAGAAACATCCCCGGAGAGGAGAAGAGCAGCTCAATCAGTTATTCTAGTTTGATGAAATATCTCTACAGACCACAATTCCATTTGTTCTAATTCTGTGCTCACTAAGCAACTTCAGTCTAATTCGATCTCCTGAATGTACTATTCAAAGGGAATTCATGCCTGTGCAAAGGGCGTTTACCAGGATCCTTCTGGACGTGTCTGGATTATCACATGATACCTTCGGAGCTGTCACTAGTGAGCTGTCCCAAATTTCTGAATGAGTTTATTAAATCCAGATTCTTTAGTAGTGACATTGAAGTCTTTATGCTGGACTAGCCTGGGAGTATCAAAGCAGAGGTGTCTGCTCAGGAGGACTGCAGATGACCCCTGGGGCACGGGCAGGTGGCAGCAGAGTTTCTGTTTAGACTACACGGGCAGGTGGCAGCAGAGTTTCTGTTTAGACTATAAGGCTCGGCTAAGGCTTCAGTATCCCCTTTACCCCAAATTCACGTGTTCAGACTTGGTTGTGATGTTAAGATGGTGAAAACTTAATGCAAGGATGGTGTTGAAAGGTGGGGCCTTTGGGAAGTGATTAGGTAGCATTGGAGTGGGGGCTTCATGGTTCTGTTCTGGTGGGCTTACAAGGAGAGGGAATACTAGCAGAGTACAGACACTTGTACTCCTGTTCTCTCATGAGATGATGCCCTCCTGGCTTTGGGAGGAGGTCATCCATCAGCAAGACGACCCTCACCAGATGTAGCCCCTTGACTTTGAAACTCCCAAAGCCTGAGCTGAATTAACCTTTTATTTTCTTAAATTACCCAGACTTAGGTCTTTTCTGTGACTAGCAACAGAACACACTAGAACAAGCTCATTCTTTTAACTATCTGTGTACTTATGTAAGCAGAGTGGGTGCTAGCACGAGCTGTCAGAAGTGGTTATGGGGGAGGAAGCCCCATCCTCATTGAGAAGAGCCATGAGTCCCAAGTGGCCTAAACTAATCAAAACTGGGAGAGTCCTTGGGGGAGTAGACTCTCAACTCACTTTGGCAAACTTCTGCTCATCTCTGCCCCAGGAGGAGC